CTCACTGAGCTTTGTCAAATAGTAGTCAAATAATGTCAAATAGTATAAATGTACAAATATCGTTTCTATCCCAGTTACGTCAGGAACACATCCGCATGGTAGAAAATCGGCATTACAATCAGTTCACAAATATAAGCTCTGCCTCCTTAGTTACTGTTGCTAACCTGTCAAACATTCCTAGCAATTGCATACAGTTACTAAAAAAGGCTACAGTATGCCATGGAAGGCTATATGAAAAGTGAAATTGGACAAATTTGATTTTTGATTCAGATTTAAAGCAAAAACTTATCAGAGATAACAAAAAAATAAATTTTATTTTTTTTTTACAAATTATGTAAAAGGGTTAAAAAGGTAATTACTATTTATTTAATTAATTTTTTATAAATTTCTTTAACTGTTGAAATGAAAAGCACAATCAGACGAGTCAAAAGGATATTTCATTCTTTCTTTAGGAGTTTTTAAATCATATAAAAATGTGTATCACACTAGAGATGACACCTCAAAACAATACTAATATGAGGTTATACAACCAATGAAATCTAAAAAGTATTTCCAAACCTTCAACTATTGTTCGTAAAAATCTTGAAGGTTTCTTATGTAACTGTTCTTAGTGGCACATTGGAGGCACAGAGGATGTCTTCTGTGATTTCGTAGTCTCTAGTTGCATAGACAAGGGACAGGCCCTTCAAACACGTTGCAGTGTTGCTTCCACGTGACATAATCCTGTGGGACAGGCGTTTGTGTGTGTATGTGTGTGCTGAATTAGAGCCGCTAACTGTGTCAAAAAAAGAAAAACTGTAGCCTGACACACTGGATGGACTCTGCCGCCCACTTTGAGATCAACCAACCAATCAATAAATGACCAGCCTATGGACCGTCCAATCACCATCCAGAACCAACTAATCAGTCTGCCTACATACCGAACAATCTGAGGTCACTGCATCATGCAGATTTACGTTACAAGCTTGTAGAATTGTACAGTAAGAAAGTTATTTCCCTTAACCAGGAAATTAACGTTCTTGGAATTGACAAGACAGTTGACCCTGAGAGGTCAGCTAAATATCTACAGCGGATCTAAAATATGAATAGTTAATTATAACTAGTTATGGTTAATTATTCATATTTCCCCATGAGCTGATTCGCTACACATTTCATGTTGTTTTTCCAATAATGCACACTACTCTGTTTAGTTACTGTTCATCAACAGCATACTGTAGCATGCAAAACCTCAGAAACCCAAATCTGTTAAATGTACTCTGAGAGCTGGAGCTCTGTGTGACAGAATGAATAATCCATGAAGAAAGTGAGAGAGAGTGTGAGAAAGCTGGAGAGAGGGAGTTGAGGGTGTTTGGAATGATGGAATTGTTGGCTGGAAATGATCTGTACAAGAATCATTCTAGAAATATTAATGTCAAAATGTCACAATCGTTCCTTACTGGCACAATGCATGCCGCCATAAACAGCCAAAATGTATTTATCTATATCTTACAGCATGTGTGTAGGTGTGTTTTTGTCACGAGATGTGTGATATGGAATGTCAAAAACTTCAGATTCAAGCTGCAAAAGAAAAATTACACAAATATGAACACCTACTTCTATACTAAATTGTGGGCTCTCTGAAAGATCTAACAGAAATCACACAAATAAAAAATAATGTTTTCAAATAAGGCATTAAACGAAAAATGGATAAAACTAAAATCTGAGAAACTGATTTTTTAAGAGAGACGCAGATGAGCGGACATCACTAGAGAGGCGAGTCTGATATACAGTATCTCTTCCTTTGAAACTGCAGGACTTTAATCTGTTACCAGAGAGGTAGAAGAACACCATATTTTGAGATTTTACAAATATTTTTTCTTTCTAAAAAGATCAGTTACGCAGCTAGTGAAAGCTCACTGAGCTTTGTCAAATAGTAGTCAAATAATGTCAAATAGTATAAATGTACAAATATCGTTTCTATCCCAGTTACGTCAGGAACACATCCGCATGGTAGAAAATCGGCATTACAATCAGTTCACAAATATAAGCTCTGCCTCCTTAGTTACTGTTGCTAACCTGTCAAACATTCCTAGCAATTGCATACAGTTACTAAAAAAGGCTACAGTATGCCATGGAAGGCTATATGAAAAGTGAAATTGGACAAATTTGATTTTTGATTCAGATTTAAAGCAAAAACTTATCAGAGATAACAAAAAAATAAATTTTATTTTTTTTTTACAAATTATGTAAAAGGGTTAAAAAGGTAATTACTATTTATTTAATTAATTTTTTATAAATTTCTTTAACTGTTGAAATGAAAAGCACAATCAGACGAGTCAAAAGGATATTTCATTCTTTCTTTAGGAGTTTTTAAATCATATAAAAATGTGTATCACACTAGAGATGACACCTCAAAACAATACTAATATGAGGTTATACAACCAATGAAATCTAAAAAGTATTTCCAAACCTTCAACTATTGTTCGTAAAAATCTTGAAGGTTTCTTATGTAACTGTTCTTAGTGGCACATTGGAGGCACAGAGGATGTCTTCTGTGATTTCGTAGTCTCTAGTTGCATAGACAAGGGACAGGCCCTTCAAACACGTTGCAGTGTTGCTTCCACGTGACATAATCCTGTGGGACAGGCGTTTGTGTGTGTATGTGTGTGCTGAATTAGAGCCGCTAACTGTGTCAAAAAAAGAAAAACTGTAGCCTGACACACTGGATGGACTCTGCCGCCCACTTTGAGATCAACCAACCAATCAATAAATGACCAGCCTATGGACCGTCCAATCACCATCCAGAACCAACTAATCAGTCTGCCTACATACCGAACAATCTGAGGTCACTGCATGCTATGATGCCCACAGACTGCAAATGTGTGTATCGAATCACTCCATTTAAATCAATTTGAAAAACCAAAGGTACGTGAGGTGTTATAGTCGAAACAATACATGAACGTTTGAATATTTTGCAGAGAACACAAGCAGAAAAAAATTAGGAGCAGGGTGAGGAAGAGGAAGTGGTTTTGTTGTAATAGGACTGAGGTGCAGAAAGCTGAGAAGAGTTCTGCATAGCAGCAAATTTCACTGGGTCACCAGCCCTTCTACTGCAGCCATGGCACACCGCCACCACAATAAAACATTTACAATCCCTCAATGCAGCCAGCACACAGACATAGTATCAAATTTAAATATTTCCACAATCACACTCCTACATTTGGGTGTTTTACAGTAGTTCAATATAAATTAATGTTTTCGTTCCATTGGATGTTAACATTCAGAATTCAACTGAGAATGTTTTTTTAAAGGTAAATCCTGAATTCGAGTTGAATTTGAATTGACGTAGCAAACATGACACAGAATTGCATCAAAAATCTGAATGTAAGGGATTAGAATTGAGTATGGAAGTAGAACTGATTCAAAGGAATTGAAATTCAGAGAAATTCATATAACTGTAATTTTTGTAATAGAAAAGTAAAGTCTGTTAAAGCAGACTTTGAATCTTGGCTTTTTGGAAAACATTTAAAAAGTGTTCAAATTGAAGGTTTATAGGCATTACTGGCAGATGGATGGAAGGGTGGATGGGTGGATGGATGGACAGATAGACCAAGAGCAAATAGACAATAACGACAGAGAGACAGATGGAGCGACAGAGATAGATAGATAGATAGATAGATAGATAGATAGATAGATAGATAGATAGATAGATAGATAGATAGATAGATAGATAGATAGATAGATAGATAGATAGATAGGATAAAAAACATAAAACAAAACAAAATTAAATAGACAAAAAACAAAAAATAAAATCATGCATCGTAAATGGTTGATACCTTTTCGTAAGGGTCAGAGTCGTAGTTGAGGCCTATGCCACAATCATCTGTGATTTCAGACAAATCTTCATCATCAAACTCTTCCAGACTGATGTCATGAGCCGGCCTGCAAACAGAAACAAAATAATAAACACACCAGGTCTCCAATTACTTGAAATACTCATAAATAAAATCAGGATTTTCTTTAAATGTACTGAAATCAGCAGGTTTGTGTGAGGGTTAGGAAATATTATCACCTCTGTGTGAAAACCATAGCATCTAGGAGATGTGCTGGCTAATATAAGTGTGTGTGTCTGATCTGAAATATGAGCTGCCAAGACATATCAGCTGATTACACACACAGGTAGCTAACCTAAGCAATCCACAAGGTCACTCAGATTAGCACTCTCTTTCATATGCACACACACACTCACACACAAACACATACACAGAAGCACAACACCAGCTAAGACATGGCCACCACACCTTTAAACAACATAATTTCTCTCTTCCACCATCCCCATTCATTATTGATAAGTGGGTTAGCATGCTGCTAATTAAGGCCAGCCTCTGTTTTGCCTTATTTGGCTCTGCTTTGGCTCAGCAAAATGCATTAACCCGGATTCTGGTGTATGCTAGCTGCTAACGCAAGGACGATTTCATCTCAGCTGAGCTCCACTCAGCTGACAGCAGTGCTGCAATGCAGCTTTTCACAGTCAGAGCGCCACAATCACACAGATCTGTAATATATAGAGGATCCAAGACAGAACAAGAGAAAGGGGGAGGAGAAGAGAGACTTGTTTAAGATAGAGAGATAGTCAGATAGAGAGATAGTCAGATAGATAGTCAGATAGTAAGATAGATAGTCAGATAGAGAGATAGTCAGATAGAGAGTCAGATAGATAGATAGAGAGATAGTCAGATAGAGAGATAGATAGGTAGAGAGATAGTCAGATAGAGAGAGAGATAGTCAGATAGAGAGAGAGATAGTCAGATAGAGAGATAGATAGATAGTCAGATGGAGAGATAGAGAGAGAGAGATAGATAGATAGATAGATAGATAGATAGATAGATAGATAGATAGATAGATAGATAGATAGATAGATAGATAGATAGATAGATAGATAGGATAAAAAACATAAAACAAAACAAAATTAAATAGACAAAAAACAAAAAATAAAATCATGCATCGTAAATGGTTGATACCTTTTCGTAAGGGTCAGAGTCGTAGTTGAGGCCTATGCCACAATCATCTGTGATTTCAGACAAATCTTCATCATCAAACTCTTCCAGACTGATGTCATGAGCCGGCCTGCAAACAGAAACAAAATAATAAACACACCAGGTCTCCAATTACTTGAAATACTCATAAATAAAATCAGGATTTTCTTTAAATGTACTGAAATCAGCAGGTTTGTGTGAGGGTTAGGAAATATTATCACCTCTGTGTGAAAACCATAGCATCTAGGAGATGTGCTGGCTAATATAAGTGTGTGTGTCTGATCTGAAATATGAGCTGCCAAGACATATCAGCTGATTACACACACAGGTAGCTAACCTAAGCAATCCACAAGGTCACTCAGATTAGCACTCTCTTTCATATGCACACACACACTCACACACAAACACATACACAGAAGCACAACACCAGCTAAGACATGGCCACCACACCTTTAAACAACATAATTTCTCTCTTCCACCATCCCCATTCATTATTGATAAGTGGGTTAGCATGCTGCTAATTAAGGCCAGCCTCTGTTTTGCCTTATTTGGCTCTGCTTTGGCTCAGCAAAATGCATTAACCCGGATTCTGGTGTATGCTAGCTGCTAACGCAAGGACGATTTCATCTCAGCTGAGCTCCACTCAGCTGACAGCAGTGCTGCAATGCAGCTTTTCACAGTCAGAGCGCCACAATCACACAGATCTGTAATATATAGAGGATCCAAGACAGAACAAGAGAAAGGGGGAGGAGAAGAGAGACTTGTTTACTGGGTGCCCTTGTCTGAAAATATTGATATTTTTAATATATCTCTGGAATCAGAAGCTGAAGGCCCTGTTGTAATGCTTTTATTAGTAAGTGATACAGCTATTAATCTAATAATATTGCTACAGAAAGAACTTAAATGGTTAACAGAGGATGAAAATTATGACATAGGATGATACGCATTATATAAAGGTTAGTTCCGGCTCTAAAATCTGATTGGATGTGCCACTTTCACAGCGGTTGCAAAAAATTCAATATATCTGACTGTCAGTGTAATTCTAAAAATTATGCAGGATAAATAAATACATTCTGATCCCCTGTGTATAAGGCTGTTTCAATTTGCAAACCAATATCATATGCACGTCATAAAAACAGCTTCATGTGGGCAAACATGATTTATAATGTGACGAAATACTTCCTGAATGCAGCTTTTGCTCATTTGTGTTGTTTTGGTCTTTTAATGTATTTTGTGATCATCTATGCTGGCAATCAAATCTCTTGTAATATTTTACTCACAAGACACATTTTAGTGAATCACATTCATCAATAATGAGTCATTTTGTTCAAGGTTTATTTCCATGTTCATGCTATTCCCGGTTATTGTATCACAGGTCAAAACTGCTGAACTCATGACTAACTATTCTGACAAATGTTACCAGCCCTCTTCTAAGAACCACAAATCATTTCATCAATAAAGTATACCTACAAAACAAATGCTAAACCATGAATTAATCTGCATTTAACATGAAGCCTTAAGCACTACAAACTAGGCATGGGACGATAACCGGTTTCAAGGTAACCATTTTTCGGGTAACGTAATAAACATGGTAATCATGTTCCGTACACAACGATGTTCCGTACAGATGACGTTTTAGTGCCAATCGCTAAATAAATACTTCCAGGTCGTACATAAACTATTCTGTGTCATCTTTTCTCCCTCTTTCACCCCCGATCAAGACATAGACCCACCCGCTGTTTGTTTCAGTGTTGAAATAAATAATATTTGGCTTGGATAACATGGCTAATTAACTAGCTAACGTCAACTAGTTTCCTCCCTCACGTTACTTCACAGAGCGGGGAATAGCATACTAAAGTACTACGTTTCTGCAATTTAGTACAATAATTACATTTAGCGGGTTACACGTCTATACTTTTAAGCATCCTGCCATTGTTTACATCTGTTCAAAATTACGACATTTAAAAAACAAACAAACTGCTGGCTCTCAGGTGTCTTTGCCACTGTTTGAGAGTTGTATGGAGAAAGACCGTGTGTGTGTGTAACACACTCTCGCTTTCTCTTTCCTTATGTGTATGTGCACACATCCTCGTACCTCAACGCTCCAAACTTAATCCAGGAAAGGTGAACATTCCTGCATCATAACTTGGACTGAAAGAGGAATGTGTAGAAAGTGAGCATGTCTCCAAAAACCTTGTTGAGCTGCAGGTTTAATGACTGCATTTAAAAATTTTTTAACAGAAATTATGATTTGATTATGTTTTTGATTATTGAGCTGCAGGTTTAGGCTCACTTAAGTGACTGCACTTAATTTAATTAAGAAGAATTCAATTATTATTTTAATTATTTAGCCTGACATGTTTACTGTTCCAAAATGTTCTAAATGTTTCTTAAAAATAAAATATAGTGTGTTCAGTGGAAAAAAGTTTCAGTTGTTTTTTACCCAGACATTTAAAAATAACATATTTTAGAGCTGTAATCGCAATACCGTGATACCGTGAAACCGTGATATTTTTATCTAAGGTTATCATACCGTCAGAATCTCATACCGGCCCATGCCTACTACAAACTCTCTTTAATGCCTCCATTTCAGAAGTCTTACTGTAACATCAGTAATGGCATTCGCTCAGCCCTTCTTTTAAAAAACAACAAGAAATAATACTAAAATAGTATTAACATACTTGAGGAGTGATCCGAATTTCTGTCTAAACCTGCAAGGCTCATTCAGTTTGGCAATCAAGTGGCTTTTGGAGAAGTGGACACTACCAAGTATCAGTGTCAGATGTACTGGGTTCCAGGCAGCTCTTAAGTGGTTAAGTGACTGTTCAAAAGGTAGTTGTACTTGTTCTTTCACATTTCTGTGGGCTTTTTCACTATGATACAAATAAATGCTCCCATTTGACTTTGTCTGATTTCATTCTAATCAACTATGCAAATGTAGGTTCTATTTCTCTACTTTTGGCAGTTTAGGCTAAAAGATATTAACAAGTCTAAAAGTTAAATCTAGAAGTTAAATATTAAAATTGCACCTGCACTGTAAAATGTTTTGTCATTTAACTTAAAAATATACTTCATGTGATACAGAAAGAGAGAGGTTTAAAATTGAAAATTGTTCAAAGTCATACAGCTGTGGAAATGCTTCAGTACCCTGTCTGTCAAACCCTGATGCACAGCATCTCATCACGTGTGCTGACCTGTGGGTCAGATTCCAGATGAATGAACAGGAGACGGGCTGGTATAATCAGGGATGCCAGGCTATTGCTGACACTGGCACCTCACTCCTCATTTTCCCCCCAACATAAAATGGCAACCCTTATTCTACTGTAGCACAACAGAACCAGACTGGAAAGGTGAACAACGACTAACTATTTCTCACCTCTAAGCAAGAAATGAGTGGATTTTTTTCATGCTTCTAACTAGGCATGGGCCGATTACCGGTTTCAAGTTATACCGCGGTTTGAAAATGCCACGGTTTTAAAACCGCTAATATTTTCCGTTATACCGTTCCTGCGGTATGCGCTGTTTTTCATGTCTCCTCAAAGACTGAAAGTGTAGGAATCCCTCAGGTTGAGTGCAGTGTAGAGAGTAACACGACCCTCCTCCTCCAGTTGGTGCGAGTGAGCGGTCAGTCACGTGTGTGTAGGATTGCCGAACTTAAGGAGCTTCCCCTGGAACTTACACGATCGGCAACCGGACGTTTTTTGTCTCATTGCAAGCATTTTTGTGAAAATATGAAGTCTATAAACGCCTGTTAACAGAGGCCAGAGACGCTGAAGACGGACGCAAAGAGAAAAATACTGTAGCAGGCAGATCATTCACTGTTCATGATGCACGAACTATTGGAAGAAAATCCTCAATATTGATTTGGGGGTTTATATGAATGTGTTTCTCAGGGGAACTGACTGTCTTCAGAAAAGTTTATGTGGTATTTTCTTTTATTTTCGTCTCTGTATAGTTCATATTAAAGGTGCAGTGTGTAAATTTTAGCGTCATCTTGCAGTGAGGTTGCGAATTGCAACCAACGGCTCAGTCCCCCGCTCACCCCTCCCTTTAAGGCCAATTCACACCACACCGACAAACGCCAACAGACTAGTCTGTCGGAGTTTATTGGATCAGTGTGTTACCCCTGTTGGCGTTGGTCGGAGTTGGTTTTAACCTGACTGAACATGTTTAATCTGCGTTTGTTGGGTCGTGGAATGTCTGAGCAGTGTGGTATGATTTTCCAACAAACTCTGACGTAATCTGACCTGGCCACGAACCGTTGCCATGATAATGAGGCAAAACTGCAAGTAGGTGCTGGGCGCGCTTAGGAAAATAACTTTAAAAATGGCAGGTTTCTGGACAAACCCGAAAGAGGAACAGTTTTTGGATCTTTGGGGAGAGAGGCCAGAGCTTTATGTGGTGGGTGTGGCCGAGTATACCAACCCCAACGCGAGGGGGAATGCGATCAGATCGATCGCTACAGCGCTTGGGAAATTTCACTAAGGAAATTTATTTGACAATATATTATTATTATAATAAAACTGCCTTACAATATTACCAAAGACATTAATAACAGTATCATTTTGATTGTTGTTACAAGATAATCCATTTCCCCCCCTAGTTTACTCTCCCTGACTTGAAGTCTGTTGGTGTCTGTTGGGGCAGTGTGAACATGAGAGTTATTTTTCATAAAATTCTAAATCCAGCGGCCATGTGTCTGTTGGCGTTTGTTGGTGCGGTGTGAATTGGCCTTTAGAGAAGCTACGGTGGCCGATACAGGACTAAGATGTCATCGGTAAAGACAACAGAGAGCAATGAGTTTTCTTTACAAAGGTAAATTAAGGAATTATATTTACTTAATTATTTAATAAATCGATGTTATTGCGAATATTAATGCACTTGTTCATCATTGTGCCAGTGTTTTATTCGCAAGAACAACAAAGTGACGAAACGCGCTGTGTAGAGCAGTTGGTCCGTTTACGGCTACTGTAGAAACATGGTGTATGAAGATATAAATTGCTAAATCTAAGGTATTAAAAACATAACGGTTCATTAAGTAAGGTCTTTATACACCTCTGAAAACATAGTTATGTATATTTTATTGCATTT